CTCCCCCTGGTTTATTTCAAATATTTTATTGGAAGCTGTATAGATACTTAATAAAAAAAGGTTTTGCTATAGCCCATGCAGAAAAAGAGTAGTTGGGAATGGATACACACCAGGATGATTAGAAATACCCTGTGATATTTTTGAGTGGCATGCAGCCATTTATGGCTTTTTTTTCAGCCACCACAAGCATTTGCTCAGGTGTACACACATTTTCTGGGTTGTAAATAGCTCTGTGAAAGGATAGTCTCTATCTCTCTCTAGCCTTGCATTTTTACAGCACCTAGACCTGTAACACTGCCAGTATATAATTACCTTTCCCGTGATAATCTGTTACAGAAATGAAGAATAGCAAACAACATAGAAGCAAATATTTGAAGGAAACCTATTGACTGCCAGAAGCGGTAATTTGGTAGTACAGACATTTAATGCTCTGTGTATTTAATTACATTTAATAGTCAATGTTTCATGAGGCAAATCACTGGTAAAAGAAGTTTGGGGTTCTGTATAAAGCCCTTTTTTAGAGCTGAGTCAAAGAAAATTCAGGCAACAAAAATATCTTCTGTACAGGAAATGTTTATTAAAACCTCTTTGAGGAGATGGAAGGACCCATTTTATGAAGCTTCTACTTCAAGGCTCAGAAGAGAAGCAAATTTTTAAAATGCCAAGTAGGCAGAGTTTTCCATTTGACTGTTTGGTTCAAGAAAGTTCAGAGGTTGCTCTTGGGACACACTAGGCTGAGGCTTTCATGGAAATCATGATAAATGTGTTTTCCAATGTACTGACCTGGATGTTAGCATATTTTTTGCTGAACATTATGGGGTACTTCGCCTACTACATAATTGATTTTCCAGTAAAGCTTAAGACTCCTTTCTGATTCCAGTAGAAATCTGCAAACCATTTTCTTTATTACCACCATCCAGCACCAGAGGAGGTTGTGGGCTGGGGTGAGGCAGGAGGGAGCAGTTTATGAAAATCCAGCAGCATTGCAGAATACCAGTTTAGTAGCTCCAACAATAACCTGTTGAATTTTTTGTGTATGTGTGCACACACTCATATATTCACTTATACAAGGACATCTGCAAAGCCCTAATTGTTTTTGAAAACACAATAATATTTAAGCAACTGGATGTGGCCCAACTCTTTTTTAAGAACTCTTGGATTAAGGCCTGGCAAAAACCTGCAGCTGGTAGTTTTTTTTGGTGTGTTCTATGTATCTTAGTTTTCCCCCTCCATCCTTTAACCTTCAGCACAAATATTTTTTTCAATATTCAGAACCCTTCTATGCAAAGCTATTTTTTTTATTCCTCACATGGTTTTTGCTACATTGAACCCAAACTGCCCTAATAGCAGGGTAAAGAAATGAAATAAAAATCAAGGAACCTTGGTAAATAGATTTGCTTTTGATGTATATGTAAGACATAATTTGAAGAGATCTCAGAGCACACAGTAGAGGAAATTAGTGTGTAGGTAGAAAACTACCATAGGGGTATCTGGTAACCAATCAAGGCTCGTTCTCAATTAAATTAACCTACTTAACTCTCAGGCTGTCCCAGCACTGCTAATTAATGCTCTTTTCCAGAACAGTCCAAATTAAAACTGTCCCCCAATATAAATGTAAAAGCCCCAAATAATTTTAACTCCTTTCCCCTTTGTAATAATTTATTTTGCAATCACGCTCATCTTCCAAGAGATCACAATGTATATGCAGAAGAAACAACCACATTGCTGTCAGTAATATGTGGAGAAGACAGGAAGAACACACCAAGTGCATCAGTGTCTCTCTGGGTTTGCCAGAGCCCCGTTTCTAAAAAGGTTCATCATATTCCAGCAGCGATGGCTTTGACTGCTTTAATTCAGCAGTACGTGTCCAGGGGCTAAGGCCACCTTGTCATTGATACACTTGACTGGCAGGCATGGATCTTCCCTGTCAAAATACCCAAGTGTTTAAGTAATGACTAGTGCCACTTGAGTGGAAAAAACTAGGCGAGCTGTCAATACAATGGGTGTCAGAAGCACATTGTTACTCATCCTAATCACAGTAATTGTACACAGGGACAGGCGGGGAAGAAAAGGAAATGAATGCCTATCTGCTGGCAACAATGCAACTTCATTTAACCTTAACAGACCAGGCACTGATATCATTTCTTCCTGGCACTCTCTGCGATCCTGATGTCAAAACAGCTTCTCATTTGCAATGTATGACAATTTCCTCACATCTGAAAAGACACTGCTGCAAGTCAATAGACTATAAATTGCACTTGGAAATGGGATCATCTTAACTAAAGCCTGCCTGCTTTCCCCAGGAGGCCCAGGCCCGCTCCCCCCTCCTTTTAATAATTTGTATGTTTAGGTGTTCGGTCAATTTACCCTACACTTGTAATGTCTTATAGGCAAGACCATCAATCAGATTCGGTGTGACAAAAATATCCTGCTGCAATATTACAGGTTATTAAAGGGATGATGGGACAAGGCTGCATGCATTTACTGGCCCCCTTTTTTCTCATCTCAGGAAACCTGTCACAGACCTAAACTGGTGATTCATCTTCTCTTCACTATCAACAGGTAGCAGCCAAGAGTGGACTTTGATGAGCTGCTTTCACTGCTCTTTCCTCCACACCTTCAGTCCTCCTCTAGCTGCCTCCTAGCCCTATATCCAGTTTTCCCCACTCCTGGGAGAATTCATGGCCATGGGAATGCTGCTGTAAAGGCTCATAGCTTCCAAAAAGGCCAAGATAGTTCCAGTGTCCATTGAAGGGTTTCCAGCAAGGGGCCCATCACAGTCTGGAGCACTGCACATTTTCAAGGAGTCAAATTCACCTTGCAAACATTTTTCATAAGGCTCTAAAAGAGATGCTGGTGAAATGATACCATTCTGATAATCTTTAAAAGATTTTTAAAGAGAAAACAAGCGAGATTATATACAATATTCTTATATTCATTGATATATCTAGTAATTATACTTACTAGACCTCAGAGTATTTTCTCTGAGCTTTACAACCTAGGACAAAGCAGAGAGGAGCAGAAGGGCAACATCTGACTTCCTGATTTCCCAGGCTACTGACTGTCTGCATACAGGGTGTCTATTTATGACACGTCACATCACCACCAGAGCCACATGTCAGTCCCAAAATTGGAAAAGAAAGGGATGAAATAAAGTAATGAGCACAAAGAACAATGTGAGGCCTACACAGTACCCTGGGATTTCTACAAGTGACAGTCTGGGTCAGCGAGGCTCTGAGAGGATGCCACAGCCAGTGTACAGACACCAGAGAGTGATGTGGGATATCTCTTCCTGTGTTTAGCTCAGTGGGAGAGAGTGTCACCATGACTGCATGTGATATTCCAGCAGCCTCAATGTTTTAAAACAGGGGTCTGATTCCAATACTGTAACATTTCCTGCTTTCCTTTGGAACAGAGATGATGCCCCATGGCTCAGTACCTAAGAAACAAACACATGAGACAATTCTATCTTCAATAGGCAGGTGCCCACTAATAACCACCACACAATGAAATGAATGTAAGAAAATAATGAAACATATTTTACATCATTATTTTTCACATAATTTCTCCATGTTTCATCTGTTCAGTCCCAGATGGCTGTTTTGCTACATCCTCTTTACTCAGATTCCTCTACATTGTTCTTTTAAGAAATGACCTTGAGGAGGACATTTCCTACCCCCCGAGCTCCAGCCCTGTGTGCAGGTTGAAAATCTGTTAGTCACCTGTCCTAGGGTGACTTTATGATGCTGAATGGTATCCCCATTCATCTGTTTAGGCCAGAGGTAAGTTTTGTGCCTGTAAGACTGGTTCTGAGAGCGAAGGGGGAGAGAAGAAGCGTGCAGTTTGTTTGTGGAAGCTGCACTTGCTCCCCCATCTTCCTTCTCATGGACTGTACTGTCTGCAGCATGGACAGACAGCAGGAGAGAGCTCTCCTTGGCTTTTAGTTAGTTTTTATAGCTAGCTGAGGCAGAGAGGTTCTCTGGACTGTGGCTTTTCTTTTTCTTGATAATGATCAGCCCTGCTCTGGACTGAAAATCCAGAACAGCAACGGGAACTCACACCTGTGACCCACTGGAGCCACATGTGGCATTTTCCAGCACTGGAGGGACTGATAGAGACTGAGTGAGCTGAGTTACACCCCATGACAAGGACTTTCTGAATTTGCCATCTCTTTAGAACAATGAAAGGTTCCATTGTTTAATATTATTCATTTTTCCATGTTTGTGAGTACTTTGCTCGTTAAATAAACAGTTTTTTTCCACTCTTCTCAAAGGAGGTTTATGTCTCCTTAACAGGTGGAGGGAGGGGCTGTTTGAATTAGCTTCTAGAGGTACCACTTCAGAAGTTTCCCCCCAAAATTTGCCCTAAACCAGTACATCACCCTACCCTGAAATGCAGTTTCCCACTAAAAAAGGCAAGGAAATTTTTCTCCTGGGTTGTGCAGAGCTGGAAGGGCTTTTACATGTTATAATACAGACTAGGATGATGATGATCACATCATTAGACAGAAAAGTTAACATCTTCAAAGAGATGAAACAATCAGTCCCAGAGAGACCACTCAACAAGTAACGCATGAATGTGCAAATTACATCTAAAGCTTTGTGCAGAATGAGCGAGGAAGGAAAACTGAGAAAAAGCTGGAGCTGCTGGAAAGACCTCAGGACTGTTGATGGCATAGGAAAAGAGGTGGAAGGGTACTCTTACCTTCAAGAAGGTGTGTCAGTCACAGAATATGAACTACATCCTGTGAACTGCCCACACAGGCTGCAAGCTGTCAGGCAGGGGGCTGGGTAGCACAGGGACCCTCCAACCCAAAAATTCTTCCGAGTTCTTTGTGGATTACTGGTGACTGATGTCAGAAAGGCTTTATTTCCCAGAGGGGAAAACTGTATGAGCAAGACAGGCAAAAAGGAAAGAAAAGTGTCTAGAGCTTAAAAGTGGGCTTGTGCTCTGACCTGCATGTCTGTTGGTGCTGAGGCTGCCTGGAGTGAGCTTCTCCTGCCTGTGGGCCACTGCTGATGTGTCCAGCCACATGTCAGGACTCGGGGTGCCCAGGAAAAGCTTCAAGAAAGTCCACAGAGAGATAGGAAATGTGAATAAATCACAAACAGAGGCAGGACTGCTAAAAGACAGCATCCTGTGCCAGCCTAAGTCACACCTGGCCAGCAGTGTCCTTCAGAGGCATCTGCCAACTGGTATTTTTTGCCTTGTGAGCTGGTGAAGCATTTGGGTGGCTAAGTGGTGAGAAGGCCTTGCAGCAGGGAGGTTCCCCTGCCATCCCCCCCAACCATCTTTCCTTTCTGGCTGGAAAAGCCACCTGCTAATCCACCAGTGCTTTCATAATATGCATATTTTTCTCTTCCATATTCACATAATCATCATTACACAAAAACATTGTTTGTTTTTGTGTTTTTAAGAATGCAATTTTAAGCATGGTTGGGTTTTGCCTGCTGTTTATTAAGAGAAAAGGTCACAACAATTTTGCTTTGCAAGCCACTAAAGAAGGATGTTCGTAAGTCTCCAATCCTCAATGCAAATTAATACAGCCCTGAAACCCATGGCTTCACAGTTCACTTTTCCTTAGCATCAGTGCTTCCTGTAATCTAGGCAGCCCCACAAGAGGGCTGCAGGGCAATAGCTTTATCTGCAAGGCTGATGAAAAGATGCATATGAATCCAATGAATGCATCTTTTCCTTTTTTTTATTTGGAGCAATGACAAATTTAAAAGGGGCAACAAAGCATTCCCCAAATTACAGGCAATTTCCCTAATTTACTATTATCTAGTGTTGCAGAATTTTGACAGCAAGGGCCAGGGTGTGAGTTACTGCAAGGCACGTTGTAAGATGCTGTGATCTTTGCACAGCCAGCCCATTTTTTTATACTGAACTTTGAACACACTGTAGCGTCTGTGCCTGTGGAGAGATGGCCCAGGAAACAGCTAGAATATTAAGTACCCGGTTATATGTCTCCCAAAGGAGGCTGCTGCTAATATTATACATTACAACAACATTGCCTGAATGGTTTATTAATGGTAGCAAAACAGAGTGAATACGACATACAATGATAATAACAATAAATGTTATTTATACGGTGCCTATCTGTGACAACGCTCTAGAGGCCTCACAAAAATACACTTAAAATGCTAGCCTTGCAGTATTAAAATGTGCCCAAGGCCTCAGCAAATAAAATGGATTCGGTGTTTAAAATGTGATTTACTTAGACTAAGTGCCCTTAGCAGTGAATTTACATTTTAGATGAACAGACAGAGATTTTCAAAAATCACACATGGTTGTCATTGCCCAAGTGTTTGGAAGCCAATTTAAGCTGTTACAAAAAGATTTTGAGCCCAAATTATCTGCAGGTTTCTTTTAGGGCTCAGAGCAGATTATATGGAATAAGGTCCTGGAGCAATCAATTTTGTTGATCTGTATGTGCAGGCAAATATAACTGCAATGTAAATATAAATGCACTTGGTTTTAAAATGTAGCTAGAGTGTGAGGCAGCCAAGATAAAATGTCGCTGGAGTCTTTGATCTTCCTTAAATGTTGCTGGATAAACTGTGCCACGTATTTGACACTCCTTTACTTCCTGGGCATTTCCAGCCTCGGAAAGACCTTTCTGGGAGTTTATCACATGTGCTGGGATTCACCTCCTCAGGCAGCCTGTGTGGATGAGGATGTGCTGCAGCAGGCAGTGTCTGTCTCTTGGCCTCTGAGCCTGGCTTTCCATGAGGGATTGGATCTGCTATCTCATACCTTCACATGCCAGTCCTCCTTCCAGTGACCCAAGCCTCTCCTCAAAACCCTGGCTGTAACCTCATGCAGGTAAAACATGGTACATTCTCAAGTATCAAAAGCAGTTTAGAGGAGCAGTAAGCACCAAACTGCACAGCCAACAATTTTCAGGGCTCACTTGCCCTCCAGGGTTACAGGGCCTTTCCTTTCAGCATCTATGGCTTCAAAAGCTACGAGCAAAGAAGGAACTGCTAGAGCTGCCAGAAAGCTCTGCAGACCAGTCTGGGGACAGAGACTAAGTTAATGCATTTATTAATAGTTGGCAATGATAGCTGGGTTCACTGCCAAAGTCAGACCTGACTCTTCATTCTTAAATGCTGTGTCTGATCAAAAAGCCAAAATCACATTCCACCACTGCACCTGGTATGCAGCTACAGAGCCATCCTCTCAATCTTTGTTTTACAAAGTGTCTCATAGCCCGGAGACACCTGATCACATTCGAAAGGTTTATCAAAGGACAATAACGAGACTTTGACCAACGCCCTCTTTATCTGCTACAACCCTTTCCATAAGCACTTCTGACTGCATCACAGCATAACTAAAAGGAGCATAAGCTCATCTTTCTGCCTGAAGACTTCTCTCATTCAACATGCAGATCTAGGAACCAAAACATCCCTTGTTCCCTCACCTCATCTCCCTACACCCAGTAAATTTAAAATGGAAAACACTGAATATGTAAGGAGTGCATGTGGCACAACCCAGAGGATTTTTGATGTGCTCATCAAATACGATACTACAAAAATTAATTTATATATATACATGCATATGTGCTTGTATAGACACACATATTTGTTTATGAGAGTTTTCTAAAAAACTATAGTCATACCACAGAGACCACACTTTGATCCAGATTTACTGTGCAAAAGAGGCTCAACTGCAGGGAAAATCCACCTATTTGACCTTACTGTTACCATCAATATATACAGGTTATTAGCATTTAAACTTTTAAGCATATGATTTTATTTTTCTGGGAAAAAAAAATCTCAGATCATTTACATAGACAAGGTCTTAGACTCCACAGAATGGAATCTGGCAAATGGGCACAACCTGAGGATGAAAAAAAAAAAAAAGAAATGTAAAAAATTATCAATTAGTAAAAATTCAGTGGATTGCAAGTAGCAGAAGCATTTTAAACCAGCAGAAAACTTGGCCCTGAATTCTCCACAGAAGGTGTATAAATAATTACAGTGAAACTGTTCTTAGTTCCAGGGCTTCTCTAAGACCACAGAAGGATCTTCTGCCATCCCCCTCCACGTAATAAGCACAGCCTTTTTCTTTATCTGTGAACAATGACAATTTCTCCATTATCTAAGAACCCGGGGGAGAAAAATCGTCTTGTCTTTGCATAAAACACCACTCGTTTTTATGCTTTATATAAAATAATAATGAATGTGGAAGGATCGCTAAGTTCCAAATCAATCACAGTCTTTTGATGTTATTATTAACTGCACATACTCCATTCTTGTGGTTTATGGTATCATCAGAACCCCTCAATTGATTTATACCCTAGTGATCTAGTTGTCTCTATTCATTATCCCATATTTAATTAATATATGCCTCAGAAGGAGTTGTCAAAAGACAAAGTTAATTATAGCAGAAAAAAAAATCTAGTTGAAATCATGTCATATTTTAGTTTAGTGACAGCTCCCACAAAAGACCATTTTAGCTGCTTCTGTATTTTTCTGCTTGTCTGAATAAATACTATTGTATTTTCTCACCCAATAAGAAAAAAGACTTGTCTCTACTCTACATTAGGCACTTCAGAAAGATTTCTTAGATAATTAATGTTTTACTAAGTATTTGCAATTCTTGAGCTGTGCTGAAAAACCTGATCCTGAAGAATGGAGAATTTGACAACTGATTATTAACCTTACTCATCAGGCTCAAATAGCACCTTTTATGAGAAGAAAGTGAGTATTATACAGTCTATAGGTAAATGCATAAGAAATTTTATTCAAAATTATTCCAGCTGTGTGGGCAACCGTCTTTGAGATGCTTCCACTGTGTTCAAACAAATGACTCCTTCTGGAGGAATGTTTGCAGAAACAGTACATTTTAACTTAGCTTGGAAAATATTGATGTAAATGAACATTTTAGGTCTTAAGTATAAATATTCACTGTGGGAATTTGATTCAAAGCTTTACAGCCATCCAATCAGAGGTGTGAGGCTCACATATCCAAATAAGTTATCCTGCTTGTCTTGACTTAGGTATATTTAAATTGAGTCTGTCTGTAAAAAAATAGTTATTTTAAGATACATCTGCAGACTTTTAGCAAATTATTTTGAATTATTAATGTATTGAGAAAATCTTACCTGTTCACAGGTATAACTTAATGAAAGAAATTAAAAAAACCATTATTCTTAGCAAGCTGGAGATGAGTGCTGCTGTCTATGTAGCACTTACACCCTTCACATTACACATGCTGATGCAGGGAAATTCTCATGGTGATATTTTTAATGCTTGTTGTTTATGATTCTTCTCTCAGAGATCTGTGTTTTGCTACCAAGCTTTTATTCTAGTAAAATAATTGACAGTAAAATCTGAGAGCAATGGCAAAGTTAGAAATATAAACCATGTCAAAAATTGACTGTGCCATCCATTAAAAATGTCTTTATTCCATATTCTCATACCTTTCATTGCACAGAATCTCACTGTATGCAGCACTGTCTAGATTCCTTTACAAAAATTCCTTTATGGGGCTTCACCAGACACTGACATGTCTTCACCAGAAAGATTCCCAGACATTTTAGACTGGTGATTGCTGTCACCCTCCTAAATTTTCTTCACCACTAGTACTATTGCTTAAAAATCTGTGATTATATAAATATTATTTTAGATCTGAAGACCACTTATAATGATCCCATGGACTGCAAAGTTTTCTGAATGCTGTTCTTGGTTTGAAAACTGCAACATTAATATCCATTACAGTCACACTTTACTGGAATGTGTAACTGAAAAATACCTGCCTCTGTGGGCAGGAATAACAATTATCCTATCAAGCTGGAAAACACACCCCACTATCCTCACTGTCCACTGCCAGATGAACACTGCCTCATGAGCTGCCTGGATGTCAGCAGCACGTCCCAAACAGGGATATGGCCGGAGCAGTTGTTCTTTTCTGTAGAAAACAAGACTATTAACAGGACTATTAACAAAGACCTGACATCCCTCAACCCCTAAAGCTGGATTCCTTGGTTGGCATTTCAATATTTGATGTATCCTCTTTACTGTGTGGCAGCATATTTCACTCCAAGGGGCTGCTCC